TTTCATACCATTTAAACTGTTCATTTCAGCAAACAAATTTAACCATTCAGATTGCAAATTTTCAGGTAAGGTTTGATCCCATTCTAAACCAAGTTGCCACAGTTTCTGCATTCCAATCTTCAGTCGTACCAAAAATGCAGCAGCAAAACCAATTGGATCAAATAATCTAGCAATTTGACTCAAAATTCTTCTTTTTGTCAAACAAACAGGAACATTAGATTTATCAGCAAATTCAATCTTGACTTTATATGAAAAAGTGTCTCTAGTATTATTCCAGACGATTCCTAAAACCTTTTCTTCATTTAAATTAGTCAACAGTTTCAAATCTTGATTTTCAGAAACAGGTAAGCAGTTTAATACTTTATTAGATATCCATCCTTTAACTTTAAATCCACCATTAGCTAGTGCAGAGTCAATATCAATAGTCAGTTTACTAGCTTCATTTACAGTTTTAACTGAAGTACATATATCATCCATATAAACATCATTTTCTAATACTTTAGCAGCTTCAGGTAAATTAGATTTTACTTCTTCAGCAGTTTTCTTTACAGCCATCTGAGCCATAGCAGGTGCTGGCTTATCACCAAATGTCAATACAGTTTTGACATATACATCAGGAGGTTTTTCAACATTGAGATTTCTCCTCAGGAACCTATGAACATGTTGATCTTCTACAGGAATCAGTACTCTGTGATACATCTTGGAAATATCCCCACAAATAACCACTTCATTTTCTCTAAATCTCAGTATAACTCCAAATAAATTGTTGAGAAGATCAGGACCTTTATACCAGTAATCATTCAAACAGTGACCATTAAAACTAGCAGACGAGTTAAATACTATTCTTACAGGTGTACTTTTCTTCTCTGGTTTTATAACTTCATGATGGGAAATATAATGAACAGGACCTTGGTATTCAGTAATTTCTGAATCTGTAAGTTTTCTAGCGAATTTCATATCCACCATTTCTTCAATTTGACCATTATATATTTCAGCATGTACAGGATATTTCAGCAGTCGACGTTCAGTTGATTCCAATTTATTTTCAGCTTGTATTCTATTATCAGGAAGTAAATTAGGATCTTTTCTCCAAGGATAAGGTATTAACCATTGATTACCAATCTTCTTACAGGATTTCTCGATTATCTTAGATTCTTTAATTTCTATGGGACTGAGACCACTTTCTCGACAGCAACAGGAACCTGAAGCCACACCCATTGCTTCTGTAGTCCAAAAGTCAGCCATATCTACTGGACCCGACAATCCGACATGATACACACGATGATCTTGAGTTCGATAACCAGACGTCACACCAAATATAATCCATCCCAAAGGTGAATGTCTTGCTATCAGATTGTTATATTGTCTTATATCCCCTGTATGCAAAAAAGCATGATCTATGCCTATGAGTAGATCAAGAGAGCCGTAACCTCTATGTAAACATCTAACAGGTAAATTAAAAACTTTAGCTATTTCAAATAATCTAATTTCTTCAATATCTTCACCAATACATGGAATTCCTAAAGCAGTAATTTGAAAAGATCTACCAGTATCCATTGAAACTATTCTAAATTTATACAGCTTGGTTCTAAGTTCTTCAGAATCTCCACCAATTTTTGTCATCACAATACTTATATCTTTGCCTTCTAATTGAAGTTGTTCGGCCATTGATTTTCTAATTAAGCTAAGCTGGGCACCAGAGTCTAACAGGGTATTTCCTCTAACAGTATTACATTTACCATAGATATCAACAGTTATTACAGGTAAAATAGTTTCTCTACTATTCAGCATTGATGCAATTCCTACACTGTGGTGATCAGGGCTTGTTGTTCTATTAGTAGGATGAAGTAATTTATGATGAAACAGTTTACAGCGACTCCCATTATAGAATTCAGTACATTGGCGTCTTCTCGAACAGTTCATTACACCATGATTTTTACCAGCAATTTTCAAACAGCTCAAACAGGCATGATTATCTTTCAGAGTTTTAATACGATCAGATACAGATTTGGACAGGAAATTACGACATTGGTCTAACCAGTGATCATTGCTTTTACAAAGCCAACATTTATATCGATTGATTTCAGCAGGTCTATCATCAAAATTACCATGATGTATGTTGAATCTTGAGTGTTGACCAGATGATCTTAAAGGAGCAGTAGCACGAATACGAGACTTCATTTCAGCATTCATCCATTCTAATAAATCTTCTAAATCAGCAGTCTTTTTGTCTTTTTCAAGATATCTGAACCAAACTTTCTTGTCTTCCGTGTTCATCTTCTGTTCAATTAAAGCTAACATGTGATTATTGTTCATATCATTAGGTCTGCCTATTTCTTTAAGTGTGTTATAACTTCTTCGGACAACATGAACTAAAAACGTGCATCTTCACCATCTCTTAGTGGACGGAAACGTGTTAAATCTTGGGTAATACAATCAGCAATAAATCTCCATACATTGAGTCTAGATATTCAAAGGCAGCATCATAATCAGAACCCATACCACTTATCAATTCTAATGGCTTATTTACCAAACAGGAACGCAGTAAAGTTATAGCATCTCGTTTACTATATCTCGATGAAACCATATGCAAAAAGTCTGACTTAAAAGTATAATATTCACGAACATCTCCACTAAACTTTGGCATCTTCGGTTTCTCCATTTTAAATTGACAAACATCGGTAGATTGTGTAGGGTTTCCACTGACAGAATTACTATTCAGGCTAGTTGAAGCAGTAAGACCATTCATATTCTCGGTACTCAGAATATCAGCATCAAAATTATTCGGATTGACAGCAGTAGAATTTCTCGGATTAACAGCAGTAGAATTTCTCGGTTTAACAGCAGTAGAATTTCTCGGATTAACAGCAATAGAATTTCTCAGATTAGCAGCAGCAGAATCTCTCGGATTAACAACAGCAGAAGTACTTGGATTCGGATTATCATCAGCAGAAGTACTCGGATTGACAGCAGATTTACTCGGATTATCGTCTATACTGTGGTTGTCAGGATCAACAATATTATTTACATCAGAATTAATCTGGATATCAGTAGGTAATGAATTGTCATTAGGGGATGAAGAGGGTGACAGGTTTATTTGATCAGGGCTCTGGGGAATTTCAACATTCTGGGTTTTTGCTTGGAACTCATCATCTAAGTGTTTAACATAATCTTTGGAATACATTTTTAATGTTGTGACCTGGTTTTGCACATCATCCAACCAAATTTCTGCAGTTTCAAATTCATCCTCGTCATCTATCATTTGAGTATATGCAGTATGTGTTTCCACCAGATTATCAAATGCAGTGTCTATTTTCAAAACTATTTCTTGGATTTCTTCTATTCCCCTTTTTTCATTAATCAGTCTATCTAGTACTTTCCCTAGTCTGGTAATAGCAGCTTTGCAGTTTCTTCTTTTCTTCTTGGCTTCTAAGAGCAAGGTTTTCAGTTCCTCTGGTGGCATGTTTAATTTTCAAAAATTCAATCAGTCAAAATTTCACAGGATATGTGACAGATAAACAAAAGTTCAGTAAATGTGACCAGTTTCACAGCAAATACACAATACGTGCCAGTTCTGACTGAATTTTCTCAAATTTCACCAGGATACAGATTAGCAAATATAATACAGTTTACCAGTCATTAAACACAGTAGATTAACCTCCAAATTTCTTCAGCATTTCTCCAATCCCGTGGTTAGCAAAGTTCAGGTTTGACTTCTGTCAGAATTCAAATTTTTGTGGATCGTGAGAGTGCATGAAGCCGTCCGGTCTAAGCCCCTGGTAATTGGCCAATTCTATAGAGTTAATAAAACAGATTGATAATACAGTTGGTTCTTTTCTTAGTTTAAATTACTTAACATCTAATTCACTACATTTACTTTTAGTTATATACTTTTTACTTTTTACTATTTACTTTTTACTATTTGAATTCATGACAACACTGGATGCCATGACCGGAAGCATGGTTATTACAAAAAGTACGGATCAGATTAAACTTATAAAAATATAAGGAAACATTTTGGAACATGGACAGTCAATTCAATAGTCTCTTGCAGAACAATTAAGTTCAAATTTTTGATTGTTATGTCATCACTGATTTTTATGTTCTTGTTCAGAATCTCCTTGCGTTTTCTCGTGAGTTTAGCCTTACACTCACTATTTATCAGTTTTGCTAATATTGGTGCAGGCCTATCTCTATATTTAGATGGGATGGGATGTATTGCTACAATGTCATTTGCTTCCAAAGATATGTTAGTTATTTCATACATCATTTTAATAAATTCACGTTTTAGGTCGGAAGATTCATTTGTAGCTAATCCAGTGATTCGAATATTACACTTCGAGTATTGTTCGTTGTAATTACATGTCTTTAGACTTTCATTGACACGAATTTTCACACACTAACCTTTTCGAATCTCCATTTTCGTTTTTAACTACTTTAATTTCTTCCCGAAGCATCTCGTTCTGTTCCAATACATGCTCATATTTACCATTGATGCTGTTTGATATTTCTGCTAGAGCTTTAATTTCGTCTCTCACTTCTGCACGAATGGTATCAAGAATTCCCTTTGTGGTGTCTGAAATAAAGTCTTTTAAATCGGATTTAGTTATTACTTGACTTTTCAAGTCGTTTAACGTATCGTTTATTTCACAGAGATCCATATTGAGACTTTGATCACTTCCGATTTAGTTGAACTCTCTCTAGGTATTTTGGGCCTTTGTTTTGCGTCTTCTTTTTGGCAGTTTGACTAATATCTATTATCTTATCATCCATAATTTAACTAAAAGACCACCATTCTATATATACATGTAATTGATAAACTTATGACTTATTTACCTTCTTAGTTTGTTGCTGCCTATCGACTGCAGATCTCTGTTTACATGTATAGTGTTCACGATGAATTTAGTTTACAAGAACTCACAACTTATTCATTTCTTTTCTTAACTTAGTTCACACATTCTAAGTATTGTAAAATCCTTATTTATAGTAGATATATAGTCTTTTGTTTGTGCATTGACCCGGCCTTATACGAATCTTAACAAATGAGACGAAAGCTCCCTGTCCTTGCGCACTATTTCTGCACGTCCGCCATCTTAGTCAAGCTCTAACTCTGGGTTCTGTCGCAAAAGCGGGAATTAGTATTAGTGAAAAAGTCTGACGAATTGAAAGAACTATAGCAAATAAGAGAAACGAGCTTTAGAAAAACTAGGAAAAGGTTTTAAAGTTATAGGGTAATTTCTAATCAAATTTTAATCTTTAAAAATGGCAAAAATTACAGACTAGATCCAATCTTTCAATTATATGATCCTATTCAATATTGATTCAATATATATTTAATAAGAAAAAAGAGGATTATAATCATTTCACCAACTGTTGGTTCTAAATCTCAACTGAATGATGGAGTGTTACCTTAGAAATTGATTTTGAAATCGCATCTGAAATAAGCATCGGAAAGAGGCAACCAAAGACCAACACAACGTTAGAAAACAATTTCTTCCCAAAAACTTCATTTTCTGGATTAATACCTGATGTTGGTGATAGAAGTGTTTTAAAAGAACCGGTAAGAAATGTTGCAAATGATGCAGATGAAGCTTGAATGATAATAGTTGGGGTAATTACGTAAATTGCAAAAATTAGAAATAACGAATCTCCAGCTTTATATACCGTCATAATTCCGACGCAGAAACGAGAATATTCAACATGTTGACTATAGATTATAGGACGAGGAAAAACTATATCAATATCTTTAAAGTTCAAGTAAGATTAAACAACGATAATTATCCTAACAAAGGAATATAATGAATTGTATAGAAATTATAAAAATGTGTGTGAAATCCACCTCAGTTTGAATATGTAGATTTTGCCCAATCTTTTGTTTCGATCTATCAGCTCATCAAGAAGATCTTTTCAAAACAGGAGTAAATATAAGTATCCATATCGAAAAAACACAAGAAAATAATAAAGGCTTTAGAAACAGCTTCACCAACTGTAAACAGATCAGCATATCTAAAAATCTTAACGATAAATGTAAATATTGTGTTGTCAGAGACGATATAGACTTGGAAAGAATTGACGCGAACGCAAAGGAAGGTGGCTTTTTACCTTTCCTACCTTTCATATTTGCTGGTATTGCCGCTGCTGATGCCACGGCTGGTGGTGCTGCAGAAATTGCACCGGCTATCAACACAAAAGAAAGCAGCTGATGCTCAAAACGCTGAGGTTCAGGAGTGGCAGATATATTAGGGACAGTTAAAGAATTTGGTTTGATGAAGAAGTTCGAAATGCCCGTAAAGTGCGCCGTAGAGCTGAGAGAGTGTGGCGACATTCAGGTTTAGAAATTCCTAAAGAAATATACAAATCAGAAGCGAAGGAAGTTGAACTGGATCCAGTACTTACATGGTTTCTAAAAGATCATTTAGACATAGTTCTCCACTTCATTTCTGCCATTGTTAATTCAAGTCTGTTGCAGGGTACATTTCCAAATAATCTTTCAAATGCTGTAATCAGACCTTTACTCAAGAAAGCCAATTTAGACTCGGATATTCTTAATAATTATCGCCCAGTTAGCAATCTAAGTTTTGTTTCTAAACTTGTAGAGAAATGTGTGTTAATCTAGCACACGTCTACCAATAATTTGGATAATCCGTTTCAGTCAGCCTATAAACAATATCACAGTACGGAAACAGCTCTGATAAAGATCACCAATGATATCTTCCATGCTATGGACAAACAACAATGTGTTCTGTTGTTACTTTGGACTTGTCAGTGCCTTATGGGATGAAATCTGACTTCGAGAGGATGCTTACAACTGGTTTAAGACATACTTAACAAATCGCCACATGACTGTAGATGTAACTGGTACCAAATTATTAACAAACGTAGCTCATCAACATGGACTGTCTGCTCACCTATTTGCTGACGATACCCAACTTTATCTAGCTTTTGAAACATCAACACAATCTAAATCTATTGAACAGATCGAGACACTTCCTCAAATTAAATCCCGATAAAACAGAGTTAATCGTCTTAGGCACTAAACAAAAACTTACAAAACTTCAAACTACGCAGATCCAATTTGAAAATGAACTGTGATAGAAGCTAATCTGTCCTTCAAACATCATATCAACTCCACCTGTTCTACCGCTTTCTATCTTCTAAAACAAATACCAAAGATTGGGAAATGTCTTACTTCAACCGTCAAAGAGAATTTAATCCATGCCTTCATTACAACTAAATTGGACTACCTCAATGCCCTATTTCACCGACTTCCAGAATACCAAATAGATAAATTACAACATATCCAAAATTCAGCGACTCGAATTTTAACCAACACCAGGAAATTTGAGCATGTCTCCCCAATCTTGAATTCTCTCCATTGGTTACTAGTTAAAAAAGGAATTGAATTTAAAATACTTTTACAAACCTACAAAGCCATAAACAAAAAATCTCCAACATACAACTAGTCGAATTTTCAAATCCAAAGAACCCGTTTTATGGAACAATTTACCATCAGAACTGCGATTTTCAAAATCTATCGACATCTTCAAGAAAAACCTAAAAACTTTCTTGTTTAATGATTCTTGAGTATTATTTCATTCACAAACTGACGCCTACTGAGAATTTAGTTGCTATGAAGACAGTGAGCTCATGGCACGTCTAACCTCCCAACAACGTTGTACCGCATTGTGCAAGACGCCAAAACCACACCTTCCAGCATGACAACGCCCGTCCACAGACTGCCATAGCGTGATTGAATTGCAACTATAGTTTTGTTTTGTTATGTAATAAGCCAAAGGATTTTATTATTTATTTTTCTATAGGATATTTTTTGCAGGGTATATTATTCCAAAGACTTGGATTTTCATAAGATTGTATTGTACGATAAAGAGCCTTTTAAGGTTTTACACCAATGAATGTTAAAACAATGATATAGCTATTGCTAAAATTAACATTGGTTAAACCTATGTGAGCAAACTTTATACATAAATTCTGAACAAACGTCTTCTAAAACAAACTTCTCGTAGATAAGCAGACAAGTTTTAGACCACAAAACATATTGTCAGGAGTATGTTTTTCGATTTTAATTCTTTTATCTAAACAATATTTAACAAAAATCAACGTTCTGGGTTTCTACAGATTTTATGAATACATTTGGTTGCATTAAAAGAAATCGAAAAGTTGTAAAATTGTTACAAGATGGAATTAATTACAGGTGACTTCTATAACCCAGTAAACACTATGTGTAATTTGACACATGCATATGGCGATAATCTCTTACCAACCCTATTTTCACTAAAAATGACTTAGATATATTTTTTTTCAAAGAAATATTGTTTAATTTTGAAAACTGCTTAAAAAGCTGGAAGTGGAATGATTAAACCTTTAGGTCTCAAATGCACAGCCAAAGACTGTAAATATTATCAACTGAGATAATTCTAATTATCTTAAATTTTGACAATGCCTTTCTCTATAAAAAAATAAATAATAAATACAAAGTCTTCTAAAGCACCTAAAACAAACACACTTCTCGTAGATAAGCAGAACAGTTTCAGACCACAACACATATGCATTCATAAAATCTGTAAAAGCCCAGAACGTTGATTTTTGTTAAATCTTGTTTAGATATAAATAAATAAAAGATAGACTTGGTGAATTGATAAAGCTAAAATTTATTATTGGTTTGAAGTATTTAATTGATAGGTACGTTTTGTTTCTTTCTTTTCTTTTTGATTTTCTTATTGTCTGTATTTGTTTACAGCTAAAATATTTGATCTTAATGTTCAGTAAATAAATTTAATTAATAATTAATAAATGATAATATTATTAGATTAGAGTTAAATAAGGTTCATCCCATGAATTTTTACCAAAGTTTAAACAATTATCTCATTTGTTTTTTTTTAATGTTTATTTTATTGCTAATCGGAAAAATGGATTTCAAGAACAGTCAAACATGTTTTTATTTCGTTGCAAAATACAGCATATAAAACATTCCTATATTTTCCCTTCCTTTAACTTTTCCATCTTCTGTCTATCTATCCATGAATGAATGAAATATGTTAGAAATAGAAAGAAGAGAATGTATTTACACTAGAAGAAATGTGACAGATTAGAATCAGACCTTAGATATTCCTTCATAAAACAATGATAAAGATAAATCCTTGATACCAATGTATTTAGTTTGTCTTGTAGAAAGTAGTTAATTTGAATTCTAAAATGAAAGTTTTCTGTAACTGAAACAGAATTTCTATAAGAATCATGCTTTAAGGCACCATATAGTCAAGTATAGTGGATTGAGTTTTACAATTTAACGAAAGCATTGCCTTTTTTAATATAGTCGCTTTGAGTGTTCACACTGCCAAAATGATTGACAAAGGTTTAATGATAATTTGTACTGTGTAACCAAATGAAGGAAAGATATTCAAGATATAAACCAAGTTGCCAGTTCTGTCCATTTCATTTCAGAAATTTAGAATGGAACCTTTAAAAACAACTTGGTGATAATAATTTCAACTTTCGGACACGAATACACCTGGATTAGATGCGGTCAACTAGGATTTGAAGTAGCTCTTTTTCAGGACTGCGTCCAAGGTAGGAGAACCTTAAGGGGGGTGTACAGCTTTCAGGATCACGTCCTAGGTAGTGGAACCAATTACTAATCAGCAATAAATGATGTTGCTTACTTCAAAGATCAAGGCAGGGAGGTCTTATTGACCATCTCCAGATACCAAGACCCGGAGCTTGTTGACTTGGCTCCAATGTCTCTTTGGGCTTTTTTCTTGTTACTTTATGATCCTTATAGACTGTCCTAAATATCGTAGACTAAGATCTATAGCCCGCACGCCTGCCTGGTTTAATCTCAACCAGAATCGACTTTCTTCCCTTCAGTGATCAATGATCAAAAATAAAGATTTGGTTACACTTATTTTAAATACATTGTTTATCATTAATACTGAACATTACAAAAAAGATTGTTACTTTTTAATTGTGATAAAAATAAAGGTTGTGCAATGCTTTCTTCTCCAGTCAAATGTCAATGGCATCTAAAACCACTCAGTCTAAAGGCATTAATCATAAACAATTCAGTTACCATAGAAAAAACCCATCTTACAATCAGGCCCGTAGCCTGACCAATACTCCTGGGTGGGCAAACGTGCAATCGAGGGGGGCAATTTAGCAAAGCACCTTGGTAGACGATTAAACGTCGGGAAACGGACTTTCAAGGAGTATTTTAGATTCGAGATTATTTTTGTTAAAACACACAAGTTATAATACGTTACATTTTTATTGCCGTTTTAGTTTAAACGTAGTCGGGTATGTTTTATGGCAAAACGTTGAACAAATACGTCCAAGTTAATTTTCCGGGTACGCTTCCTGTTGAAGGCAAGAAGAATAGATCGTCGTTGTGGTGAGTCAACGCGAGTAAGAGTTGAAAAGCTGCTTTCACACACAGCGGTACTAGAACCGAATATGGCAACGCTTGCAGCCAGTGCATATAATTTAGGGAAAGCCAATTTCTGATCGTATAGTTTTTGAAGAACAAAGATTGTAGTCCTGCTTTCCTGTCTTGGCAACGTTATCTTGAAGAAATTGTTTTGACACCTCAATTGTTATGCTTCTCGAGACCCTTTCCTTTATCACCTACAGCATGCTTCGAATCTGTGTAGCCTTCAGTGATGAATTTTTATGCACCCGCAGATGTATTGTGAAACACCGGACATGGAAATCAAAAAGGGGCGTCCCTTGACACTAAATACTCCAGCCATGGAAATCGATCATACCAGCTGTTACTAAAATGGCGCTGGAAATTTTATTCTCGGTTGCTTTGGAACGTCTTCTTTTCCAATGTCACCTGGTACTCCTGTCTTTTCAGAGCATCTTGGTACTGCATCCGTTGTGTTGCCCGCTTTGGTTTTGATACCAGTGTCAGTCGTAGTAGTGTCGGAACCATCAAGCAATTTGTCTTTTTTGATCAAATATAGATCAATTTTTCCTACGTTTGGTTGTTTGATTCATATGAATACAAATTAGGATAATATATGTCTATTAGTTAGTATTTATAATCAACCAATCAAATCTTTTGAATTTTGAGACGGGACAGATTACAATCCAGTATCAGACCAATAATTTTGTTAGCAATGACGCTTTACTGCAGACTTTTTATGATTTTCAACGAATTCAATTGTATCAAATTATCTATTCTAATGTAATTAAATTTAAAAAGCTATGATGTCTGGTTTCATCCTCAGCTAAGTATAAACAGAAAGATATTTAAAAACAGTTCTAGGCCTACAGATAGGAATACTTAGTATTTTGTTGAACCATTTCGCATAACGCAGCCCTGAAAGCCATAACCTTATTTTTAGTTACGTATAATCAAAATATCGAAATACTCATCATATCGACAATGCAAGAGCAGCTGACTGGTGCACTTAGAATTCAAGCGTACTGAAATCTTCAAGACAAACAAAATAATTTGGAATCAAGGATTTATCACTATCAATATTATATGTTAAAATTCGAAGGAAAGAGTCTGATGCATCTCAAATTTTCTATTGTAAAATGATCCTCTCCTGTCCATTTCAAACTTTTACATAATTCTGCCACTGGACAGACAAACAGAATACATGAATGAATGAACGAATGAACGAACGAACGAACGAATGAATGAGTGAATGTGTATATTGTTTAACATGCAGCAGTCTGTGAAAAGCATTTGTAAAAGTATTTACTTTACTTTTATAATTTTGGAAAAACATTTTTAATGAGCTTTCTTTTTAGTGATTAAATGGTTTTAAAATAGGCAAAAAAAAAAAAAAAAAAAAACATATTTTTACTTGTAACCTCATTATTTTATGAATTTTACTACTGAGGTCTTTTCTGATGAAATTGTAAAATGTACAATCAGAATAAAGGTTATTAGGTATGACTATTAAAATGATTTATAATAGAAATTGGCCAATTGACAAAGGTATCTCCAAACCTCATAATCTTAGCAAAATGTTAAAATATCCAGTTTACAAAAATACACTCTTGAAAATATGAGTTATGTCATGCTATATATATTCAAGTCTCGGCAAGACCTATAATTATTATAAATGAGACACAAACACGTGTTAAGGATCTTGTCACTATGAAAAGGTAAAAAACACCCACAATGTAGATCTCGATATAATTCTTGAAATAATTCGCCAATTATTGATGACCACTATGGCAATAATAATAAAACATGGTATCAAATAAAACCTAAGGAAACTTATTTTTTAATTGTATCATAATTTAACTTACTGAAAAGATTCAGTTCTCAGATCATATAACAAATATTGAATACCCTGTTTAAAAATAGGTACATAATATATTTATCATTGGATTAGAATTAGAATTTATTTTGCTTCACAAAAGGACTGAAATACAAGAAGTAAGAGAAAAGAACCAAACAGGTATTGATGGAGTAATTATGATTTCGTCCCACCAGATTTGAAGATTTGTTAACTATCAAACCAACAGTAGGTCTACCAAACCACCTAATTGGTCCAGATCCAAC